CTTTTTTTCTGAAGAAGGGTCTAGGCCCAAAACGTCAGCTTTCCTGCTCCTCTGATGCTGCTTGGCCTGCTATGTTCATCCAGCTGTACACCCATTTATTCCCACTCTGTTTCCTGTCTGTTAACCAATTCTCGACCCATGCCAATGCCCATGTGGTTTAAGCTTACCCATTAACCTCTTCTGAGGGACCTTATCAGAACCATTCTGAGAATTTGAATACGCCACATCCACTGGTTTCCCCATATCTATTCTACTAGTTACATCCTTAAAAATATCCAGAAGTGTTGATAAGCATGATTTGCCTTTCATGAATTTATACTAGCTTTGTCCATTTCCGTTAATGTTTTCAAATTTTCTGTTATCATGTCTTTTTCCACTACCATTTTCCTCACTACTGTGAGACTAACTGGTCTGTAATTCTGTTTTTTTCCCCTCCCTTTTTAAATAGTGGTGTTTAATTCGCCACTGTCCACTCTGTGGGAAAGCTCCAGAATCTATTGAATTCTGGAAGATAAACACTGATGTATCCAATATTTCCAGACTCACTTCCTTTAGTATTCTGGGATGTAGATTATCAGGCCCTCATGATTCGTCAGCTTTTAATCCTATTAATTTCCCAGCACTGTTTTCTTACTAATACTGGCTTCCTTCAATTCTGCCCTCTCACTAGACCCTTGCTTCTCTAACATTGCTGGAAATTTATTTATTCCCCATTATAATTTCCCCAGGTTCTGACTGGGATCTACGTTTGCCTTTATTAATCATTTTCTCTTCACATATTTATAGAAGCTTTCATACTGAGTTTCTATATTCCCTGAAATTTTACTCTGTTTCACCCTTTTGATCAATTTCTTTTGTCCTCTTTTACTGAATTCTAAAATGCTCCCGATCCTCAAGGTTTTTGGTGCCACCTTGCTGGTCTGAGATAGGTTGCATTTTCTTCAATTAATCATTGGGAGCGCTGGTGCCTGTTCAGCACCACAAATTCCACTCTCTTGAAATTGAATCCAATCTCTCAACTTGAATTGAACCAGACAGTTGATAACCTTGGTATCTAATGTGATAAAAGCTAAGCTCCTGACTTGATATATCCTCTCTGTCACAAAAGCTTATAGCCACATCTTCCTCTACCTCAACCTGTTTGCTGCTGGAAAAACCATCCTCTTTTTTGTAATGTCCAAAGTTAACTATGCTAATGGTCTCTTGGTTAGTTCCCATCCTTCACACACTACTAACTTCTGCTTATCCAAAACTCTCCATATCCTATCCTCCATGTCATACTCGCTCATCACGTCGGGCCTTTCTGGACTACATGAGCTTCTGCTCCCATAGTGCATGAAATTTTAAATCCTTATTCACGTGTATGTTCTGTTGTGGTCTCTTCCTATCTGTATGATCCTCATCCACCCTTGCAGCACCTTCTTCCATTTTGCACCACCTCTACCGCTCAATCACCTAGTAGTCTGACCCTTGTGCATTCCGTTTCTCACTTCACTGTTGTATCTACGTATTCAGCTGTCTAGGCTCTCTCTGCCATTGTTGCTGTTTTTTAAAGACCTTTGAAAATTCCAGTTCTTAGAACAAGCTGTTGATTCTCTCTCTTCCTTTAGCTTAGTATCCTTTATTTTTTAAATAATGCCTCTGAAAAACCGACTTTAAAAGTGCTACTTTTAAATGCACAAGTTCATGCATGGTTGACTTCACATCAATGATTAACAAGGAAGAAGACATTAGCAAAGCTATGCTACATGAGGAGGAATTGGTGATATTGAATGAGATAAAAATAGATAATGAGATAGTAGAAAAGCTAACAGATAGTAGAAAGGTGATTTAGTCATCTGGTCCAGAGAATATGCATCTAAGGTTGACAAGGGAGTGAAGAGTGGAAATTGTGAACCTCAATCTTCCAATTTAGATTCTGGGGTATTGCTAGAGGAATTGCAAATGTTGCATGTTTGTTCTAAATAGGAGGAGAATAGGTTGGCAATTACTAGGGAGTTAATACTAACATTAGAAAAATCAATCCAGAAAAATATTAGTGGCGACTTGGCTTGGTGTAGGCTGATAAAAGTCAGCATAGCTTTGTTGAGTGATATTCATATTTGACTAATTTTGAGTCTTGCAGTGACAACTGTACATGAAAGCGAGGCTGTTGATGTTGCGTATATAGACTTCCTGAGGCTTTGAAAACAACTACACTAGGCAATAAATGGGCAGCAAAAGCATAGAAACAAAATTGGCTAAATGGATGAAACCAGTTGTGGTGACTGGTTGTTTTCTGGATTTCAATGTAGTATGCAGTGCTGGTCACCAAGATTCAATATTTGAATCAATGCTGGTTTGATACGCATCAGTGATTTGTGGGTACAGCTGCATTTTCCAACTTTGTAGATGTGAAATTTGTAAATGTAGTAAGCAGTGAGGAAAATAGTATTAGATTTCAAGAGGACATAGTCGGGTTGGTTGACCAAAGTGGACAGATGACAGATGAAATTCAATACAGAAAATTGTGCGCTGATTCATTTTTGGAGGACAACTGAGCTAAATGGCACAATTTTAAAGCAGGTGCAAAAATACAGACACCTGGAGTTGTTCATAGGTAAGTGGGAAAAGTTAATAAAATCTGTGGAAGTCTGGGCTTTCTAAATAGTGGAATGAGAGAAAAACCCAGAAAATTATCAAAATCTGTGAAACCCTTCAGGAAAGAAGTTTTAAAGAGGTAATGGAAGGGCGAGAACGGTTCCAAGGATGACGGATTACATTTATGTTGAGACTGAAGAAATTGGGATTGCTCCCTTTAGAGCAGAAAAGGCCAAAAAGAGATTTGATCCAGGTGTTTAAAATTATGCATCTGTTTGGATTAAATGAAAATTGTTTCCACCAACTGAAGGGTCAGTAACTAACAGCCACTGACTTAAATTGATTGTTTGTTTTTGTCAGAGGTGACATGAAGACAAAACCTTATAATATGATGAGTGATTAGTATTTGGAATGTACTGTCCAACAAATACAGAAAATATATTCAATCGTAACTTTTCAAAAGGAAGTTGGGGAAATACTTGGAGGAATAACTTGTAGGGACGAGGGAAAGAGACGTGTGGGAACAGCTAAATTGCTATTTGAAGGAACTATACAGACATCATGGGGCTCATTCTGTGCTGTGTTATTCGAGAATGTGAAATATAGATATCCTGATGATTCTAATTGAAAGCAGTAGCATTAGGGATATTCGTACAGTGTATAATCCAGCTTTTTTTTCCCTCCTTCTAGGCTGAGTTGAAGATCACTTTGCTTTGAACCAATAGATATTAAGATTATTGACCACTGGTGAGGTTGTTGACAGCCAATGGCCCGTTACAGATACTTCATATTTAATCAGCGTGTTATGGTTATCCTGGGATTTCTCCAGATAGCTTGTGCTGCAGTGTGTGTAGTGTCTGGCTTTATGGATACAATTTTCAGGAAAAGTTCAGTACTCAGCAGAACCAGAATACCCATCTGGACTGGAATGGTAAATCCAAATGATTTTTAAGTACATTATGATTTTAGTTACTTTTAAATCAAAAAATCCATGCTAAATACTTTTCTTTCTTTTTCAGGCAATGGCCTTTCCAGGAGTTCTGGCATTATTTTCTTCTCAGAGAAAGAATCCTATTCTTGTAAGTCTCTTGCAGTGGGGGAGAAAAATACCATTGCCATCTTATGTGAAAGACTAACTTAAGTGATTATCCCATGAGACAGTGCAAAGACAATCATAATTAGTTTTGTTTCTTCTAAAGTCCAATTTGATTGGCATGTGCTTCGCCATATAGGACTCTCAAGGGTTACTTCTGTCCCATTGTACATGAAGAACTGAGACTGTTCAGATTTGATTTAGTGGTTCAATGGATTTTTTTCAAATAAGCCTGTTTCACTTTATTTTTGGTTTTGTATCCATAAAACTGTATTCGAGATACCATAACCAGTTTCTTAAACTCCGGCTGAATTTTGAGAAGTTGCCTTGGACTTACAAAAGTTTTGAATTTTGTCAGGTGGCCGAATTCTTGACATATTTGGGAGAAGTGATTTGTTCAGTAGGAGGTGGAGGGATGAGTCTTTGGGTTAAAGGACATTTTCTTTCCATATCACAATAAGGCTACATTAACACCCCTCCCATCCCCCAAAAGTGTGCTCACTCATGAAAATCTATATAGGTGATGCACTGATGGTATGGTACGCTGGCAAGGTGGCTGTCATTTGGACGGTGGGCTAAAAGGGTATGGTGACATAAGAATAGGATAAAAAAATACCATTGGGGAAGGGTTGAGTTACGGTGGCAGTGTTGTTCTTCCACCATCATTTGATGGAATTGCTATTGTGTCCAATCATCTGAATTAAATTTGAGGCCCACTGCATCAATGTGTTGGATCAGCCCAATATGGATCATAGAATCCCTACAGTGTGGAAACAGGCCTTTCGGCCCAACAAGTCCACACCAGCTCTTAGACATCCCACCCAGACCCATCCCCTTATAAGCTACCTAATTAACACATCCCTGAACACGATGGGCAATTTAGCATGGCTAACCTTTCTTAGCCTGCACATCTTTGGACTGTGGGAGGAAACCGGAGCACCCGGAGGAAACCCACGCAGACATGGGGAGAATGTGCAAACTCCACACAGACAGTCGCCCGAGGTGGAATCGAACCCAGGTTCCTAGCACTGTGAGGCAGCAGTGCTAACCACTGGGTCACTGTGCCGCCTAATGTCATAGTTTGAAGCAAGGAGTTAGTTAATGTTCTGGTTGTTTTCGTTATATTATAATCCCTTGTATTTCAGGAAATAACGAGGTATGTATTTACTGAAGCAGCTATAATTTATCTTGAAATTACAGACCAGTTTACTGGGTTCCAAAGTTACTTTGATATTGAAGTTCGTGTTTGCAGCATTAAGACTAATGAGCATGTGTGGTGCCTAGAAAATGCTGCTGTTCCTATATTGTACCATAGTAACTTATGTTATCCGTGATGTAATATGAAAGTTGAAGAAAGTGTAGAACAGCTTCCAATTCCCGCCTTTTTAGTCTTCTAATGTATCATGTTTTTAAATATTCTGCACAATACCACATTTGGCAGCAACGCCCAAAGAAGTCTTTGGTATTACTAAAGGTGAAAATTTAATATCTTGGTCTAACATCTGCATAATTTGTAAACTGCACACACAATGTGGTGTTGAAATGAATGCTTCCAAGCAAATATCATTTTCTAAGAACGTGCAGGGCTGGATGAACACAGCAGGCCAAGCAGCATCATAGGAGCAGAGATGCTGCTTGGCCTGCTGTGTTCATCTAGCCCTGCATCTTGTTGTCTCGGATTCTCCAGCATCTGCAGTTCCTACTATCTCTCATTTTCTAAGAAATTAGTTTCTAAATTAGTGTGCTGAATTCTACATTTGTTATTGAAAACGACTCTTTGTGTTTGAGGAGACAGCAAGAACTGCAGATGCTGGAGTCAGAGTCGAGGTTTCGGTTTACGCCCTTCATCAGGACCATCTGATTAAAACAAAACTAATAGAAAACACTGTAAAGGCTGTGTCTTTTTATTTTTCTGTACTTTCCATCCTGAAATGACGTGGGAAAAGGACTGGTTTAAAAGCAAAGCATTGTTGATAGATTGCTGCACTTCTTAAAGGCAAGTTACTCTACACTCATTGTAGGTGCTGTTTACAGAGCTGTTGGTTCAAATAATGGAGATAGCCTAATTCCAGAGGACTGTATACAATGGGAGATTTGGTCAGCATCGAGAAGCTGATTGGTCTGTGAAATGATCAGTTATTGATGACAAAGGCCTCCTCCATGCCAATAAGTGTGATTGCCTGTGAGGTAGCTAAACAGCTTCAGGATACAAATTTTCAGGTCAGAAGCTATCAGACTTCTGGAAGAGAAGGTGTTGGTTTTCTTTGCAATAAAAGGCATCTCAAGCTTGAAGGTAGCTACTTTATTTCCCCTCATCAGTTGCCATAAGCTATGACTCTTAATTACAAAGTCAGAGAGCATTGAATATGAACTAGTCACCCTCTACCTCCTGAAAACAAATAAAAGTACTTCGGGAAGGAAGATCGAAAAGAAGCATTCTGATCAGCACAAAGATCATCTCAGCAAACACTGTGGATGGGCCATGGAATTGTTTTCCCAGTCTTTCCCTCCATCTGTAACACCTACGTTTTGTCTGTGTGTGTATATAGAGGGGGAGTTTTATAAGTGGGTTAGAGTTTTAACTACTAGTGTTATATGTCAACAGTTCATATTTGCTTACCTGTAGCTGGAGTCTACTTGTTATAGTCATTCTTGTTAAGTACAGTAACAGGTTCCATGCTTTCTACCAACCTGGGTTTAAAAGGCAGGCAAATCGGACAATACTTTTTGAAATCTTTTAACGCTTGTGACAACTCCAGGAACAGTAGGACTTGATTTCCAGCGTGCTACCCCAGTGAGGTGTAACAAACTTCAGATTAGCTAGCGTTTTGAGTTAAGCAACAAAGTGTGTGCAATTTTAATAATATGCAATTGCAGTATTTAGAGTTATTTTGCTGTTTATACTGAATTCCTTGCATTCTATCTAGGTAAGCAGTATGGTTGCGTCAGCTGTATTTTCCTGGATTACCACAACTATTTTGATAATATATGCAGCTTTGACATTGAACTATGGTGAAGATGATGATGAAGTGTTCCAGCATAAACCCAGTCATGTAATTCATATGGTAAGCTGTTTTAAAATTTAAGTGAAACATGCTCTTTAAGCTCACGTGTTGTTTTTTTTTCCAGTAGGTAACAAAGTCTTTGGTGTTTTACATGAACCTTTGAGGGGGAGCATGGTTATGTGCCTTTTAGTTTGTTTCCTTCACAAAATACTTGACTTTTATTATAAAGACATTTCCCACACTACACTATGTAGGATATAGATTTAGAGCTGTAACTTAATTTGGCATAACACACAGAGGGGAAATTCTTGAACATCTAACTCGAATTAATGAGAATTTTAGGAGCAATGTAAACATAATTGAGAACTTTTAAATGGTTTCCGAAAAGAGTCTGTGGAGTTAGCAGAGATTTTTTTTCTCTCTGTCCTAATCAAAAGCAAAAGGCTTTTCGGCATTACTCAAGTTCTGTCTTACCAAACAACTATCTCACCTGTTACTTACAATGGCTTTCAGTTGATTTAGACTACAGTACACCACTCTCAAACTAATTACGGATTTCAGTTATATATTGACTTTCCTAGAAGATCTGTTATTCTACAATTGTCATTGGGGGATATTGAAATTGAGTGTTGCTGAAAAGAGACATATACTGTCAAAGCTTTTCACCTTGCACTCATTCGGCCATTTTGCAAATATATTAATTGAAGGAGAAAACAAATATTTATAATGCATGAGAAGAGAATGATAATTGGTTGGTCAGTAGATTCTGATTTGTAGGGGCTGTGCCACAGAGACTGATCATATTAAAATAACAGTTAAAGGCCTTTTACATTCCAGATTCTCCAGCAGATATTGTCCAATTACAGAATCATGTTAGACATTATGTCATGAGATTTACAAGCATGGGTTGGTTGGGTGAAGTCAGTACCTTGCCTGTTGTGTACAGTTGAAGGTGACGAGCTTTTTGATACGATCTGCCAGTCTTTGGGACACGTGGCCTACAAACCTGTTATTACCAGCACTGCAATTTATACATCATATTACTTGTTTCTGTGCTGAGAAGAATGTCTTTTTAGAATGATGGCGGAATCTTCTTAGTGGGGACCTTCACTTGTATTGCTACTGCATAGCAACAAGACAAAAGTGTGCAAGACAAAAAGCTTCAACATAATCTGTCTTTTTCTCAGCAATACTGTGAGACCATTAATTAACCTTGCCTTATTATGCTATACTAAATCTAAAATAGTTCCATTGCTATCATTCCACGCATACTGCTTTAGGAAGATGGTTAGATGCCCTGCCCAAAATGGCCATCTGAAAACCAGCAAGATTCAAAATCTGGCACAGACTGTATCCCAATCTAACCAGTTTGAGATGCTACCTATATGATTTGAACTCCCTTCCTGTCCCATTCTGTTTTGCCTTTACTTAAATTGCATGTCTGCTTTCTTCTTTTGACTTTTCTTGGGTTTCTAAAGCTCTGTTATCTGCCTTCCTCCCTTTTTAAAGCTCTTCTTAGCCATTATTGGATGATTCACTAGGACGATCCGTATCCTCTATAATGGACAGAGTGAATGATGTGGTAGCAGCCTGTTTGGGTTTGTCAAAAATCTATGCATACATGTATATAAATATAGCATAGAAATGTGTTTTGAAATCTGAAGATTAATGAAAAATCTCAATAAGTCTATTTGGATCTTACCTATTTATGGTCCCTACAATCAGTTTAATAGATTTCAAAATATATTTTCCAAAATTATCATCATTTATTGTTTACTGAAGTAGTTGTTTAAGTTGACTGTTCCTACTCTGATTTCTTACACATCCTGAGTTTAATTGCTCCACCATGCCATCTGCAACATTGGCCCAAAAGCCATGCTCTCCTTTTCCTCTCTGTCTCTCTCTCTTCCCCCCACTTTATATCAATCACAATATAATACTCAACACAATGTAAAAGATCTGGTCAGTACCCAGGCTTGGGCTCTCAAGTGGCAAGTAACATTCCATGCCACACAAATACCAAGCAAAGACCATTTTCAATAAGAGACAATCTAACCACCACCCCTTGATGTTCAATGGTGTTACTATCACTGAATCCCCTACTATCAATATCCTGGGAATTACCATTGACAAGAAATATAATATAAATACAGCGGCTACAAAAATGGGTCACACGCTAGGAATACTACAGCAAGTAACTCGCCTCCTGACTCTCCAAAGCCTGTCTACCATCTACAAGGTACAAGTCAGGGATGTGATGGAATACTCCCCACTTGCCTGAATGGGTGCAGCCCCAACAACACACAAGAAGCTTGACACCATCCAGGACAAAGCAGCCCACTTGATTGGCACTACATCCACAAGCATCCACTCCATCCACCACCAACGCTCAGTAGCACCAGTGTGTATTATCTACAAGATGCACTGCAGAAATTCACCAAGATCCTTTGACAGCACCTTCCAAAGCCACAGCTCCTTCCATCTAAAAGCACAAGGGTAGCAGATACATGGGAACACCACCACCTGCAAGGTCCACTCCAAACCACTCACCATCCTGACTTGGAAATACATTGCTGTTCCTTCACTGTCGCTGGGTCAAAACCCTGGAATTCCCTCCCTCAGGGCATTATGGGTCAACCCATGGCACATGAATTGCATATGTTCAAGAAAGCAACTCACCAGCACCTTCTTAAGGGCAGCTAGGGATGGGCAATAAATGCCATTCCAGCCATTGATACCCATATCCTACGAACGAATCATAAAAATGACCTTATATAAGTGCAAGTTGTTGGAGAGGTGATTTTAAACTGAAACTTTGGTTCCAGTTACTCAAGATAATGTCAAATTATTGTCCAGTTCTGATTATTGATGACTTTGTAGAAAAGCCGTTGAGCATAGTGGCATTTGGATGGAGTTATGCTGGATCTAGAGAGCTTCAGGATTCAATCCACTGCTGACAGGTAACTATATTTGCAGCAGTCAGTGTGATTTATGAACTTTAGTGGAAAGCACAGGGTTTAGACTTTTTTTTTGCTACCTCGCTTTCTCTTTTTCCTACTAGTGTTCATTTCTCTAGATTGCTGCAGTTAACTCTTCCAATGCTTTGCTCAAATGAAATAGAAGAGAGATGGTGCACAAGATTGGGTTTCTTCTAAAGTCCTGCCCTTGCACTACCATCGTTACATATCATTACCATAAATAGAAGGTTGTACTTAATGCTATCAGTTCTATGCATATATTGCAGGTAGTCAGCACTACCTAGTAAAAGCATGGGCCCAAGCTACGCCTGCCTCTTTGTAGGTTACGTGGAACAATCCCTCTTCCGTACCTACACTGGCCCTAAACCCCACCTCTTCCTCCGTTACATTGATGACTGTATCGGCGCCGCCTCGTGCTCCCACGAGGAGCTCGAACAGTTCATCCACTTCACCAACACCTTCCACCCCAACCTTAAGTTTACCTGGACTATCTCTAATACCTCTCTCTCCTTCCTGGACCTCTCTGTCTCCATCTCGGGCAACCACCTAGAAACGGATATCCATTTCAAGCCCACCGACTCCCACAGCTACCTAGAATACACCTCTTCCCACCCACCTTCCTGCAAAAATGCCATCCCCTATTCCCAATTCCTTCGCCTCCGCCGCATCTGCTCCCAGGATGAGGCATTCCACTCCCGTACATCTCAGTTGTCCTTGTTTTTCAAGGACCGCAAATTCCCCCCCTCAGTGGTCGAGAATGCCCTCAACCGTGTCTCCCACATCTCCCGCAACTCATCCCTCACACCCCGTCCCCGCAATAAGAACCAAAAAAGAATCCCCCTCATCCTCACATACCCCCCCACCAACCTCCGGATCCAATGCATCATCCTCCGACACTTCCGCCATCTGCAATCCGACCCCACCACCAAAGACATCTTTCCCTCCCCACCCTTATCTGCTTTCCGGAGGGACCACTCTCTCCATGACTCCCTTGTCCGCTCCACACTCCCCTCCAGCTCCACCACACCCGGCACTTTTCCCTGCAACCGCAGGAAGTGCTACACCTGCCCCCAAACCTCCTCCCTCACCCCCATCCCAGGCCCCAAGAAGACTTTCCACATCAAGCAGATGTTCACCTGCACATCTGCCAGTGTGGTATACTGCATCCACTGTACCCGGTGTGGCTTCCTCTACATGGGGGAAACCAAGCGAAGGCTCGGGGACCGCTTTGCAGAACACCTACGCTCGGTTCGCAATAAACAACTGCACCTCCCAGTCGCGAACCATTTCAACTCACCCTCCCATTCCTCAGATGACATATCCATCCTGGGCCTCCTGCAGTGCCACAACGATGCCACCCGAACAGCAACTCATATTCCGCTTGGGAACCCTGCAGCCCAATGGTATCAATGTGGATTTCACAAGCTTCAAAATCTCCCCTCCCCCTACCGCATCCCAAAACCAGTCCAGCTCGTCCCCGCCTCCCTAACCTGTTCTTCCTCCCACCTATCCCCTCCTCCCACCTCAAGCCACACCCCCATCTCCTACCTACTAACCTCATCCCGCCCCCTTGACCTGTCCGTCCTCCCTGGACTGATCTATCCCCTCCCTAACTCCCCACCTGCACTCACCTTTACTGGCTCCATCCCCGCCTCTTTGACCTGTCTGTTTCCTCTCCACCTATCCTCTCCTCTATCCCTCTTCTATCCGCCTCCCCCTCTCTCCCTATTTATTTCAGAACCCCCTTCCCCTCCCCCATTTCTGATGAAGGGTCTAGGCCCAAAACGTCAGCCTTTCTGCTCCTATGATGCTGCTTGGCCTGTTGTGCTCATCCAGCTCTGCACCTTGTTGTCTCGGATTCTCCAGCATCTGCAGTTCCTACTATCACTAACTAGTAAAATCTCTGTTCTCTTCAGTGAGGTGACTGTTTATTTTAATAGTAATCACCATCTCCAGTGAGGTAACCGTTGATTACTACTAATTGCTGTCAGGCATTGATCCTTCATATTGTTTAGTGAAAGTTCAAAGTAGCTGTTCTCAACTGATAAGAACACAAGGTTTCCAAAAAAAGGCACTGAATAATAAGTGGAACCACACTTGGTTCACTTAACCTGTGGACACTGAGGTCCTCTCACCATGCTTACTGTACACAGGATTAAGTCCCGAACATGGGATTTTCTTCTCCATAGTTCAGTGCTATGTCATGAAATGTATTCACTTATTCATCATTGTGACACATTTTACTGTTTTCTCAAAACTGGGAATAAAGTGCGTGCCTACTTTCTTGCAGGAATATATACTCACCAAATTTGTCCAAGGAGCGAATTTGGCGATATTAATTGCATCTGTGATTAGTATGATGACGACAACTTTAATAGCGTTTCTTGGTTGTCGGAGCCTTCCCATTTGTGGATGCTATGACAGTACAACCGGAATGGTAAGTGTTAGTCACTCAGACCATAGTTCTTAATAATTCATTTCCTGTTTAAAATTACTTGTTATTTACAAAGTAGTTGTCTGTGTATTTTTTAGGGTTTAGTGGGAAAATTCATTTTCGTAAAACAATGCTGCATTTCCACAGACGTTTGCTCTTTATTTCATAAATTTTCTTCTTCCTCTCCAAAGTGTTGGCATATAGCTCCATGGCCTGAGTTACCTGTCTTGTTCAAGGAATGACTTGAGAGAAGTTGGGAGGGATCTGGAAAGTAGATATGCAAGCTTCCAAAGCAAAAGGTTATGGCAGCATCGTTCAAAGAGGGAGAGAAAATGAGCAAGAATTAACCTAACATCTGCTATTGGAAAAATGTTAGAGTCTATTGTAAAGGAATGCACAATATAACCAAGCAGAATTGGCATGGCTTGATAAGGAGAAGTCATACTTTTCAAATATATTTAGATTCTTTGAGGAGGTAATAAGCATGATGGATAAAGGGGAAACAGTAGATGTAATATATTTGGATTTCCAAAACGTGATCGATAAGGTACCCACTTTAGGCTATTTAAGAGCCCATGGTGTTGGGACGGCATACCAGCATGGGTAGAGGATTGCCTAACAAAGAGAAAACAAATGATATAAGGGGAGCATTTTCAGGATGGCAACCTGTAATTAGTGGAGTGCCACAAAGATCATTGGTGGGATCACAATAATTTATTAAAATTTTAATGACTTGGACGAGGAAGCGAATGTACTGTTGCCAGGTTTATAGATGACACAAAAATGGGTGGGAATGCAAGCGGTGAGGATAACATAAAGGGTCTATAGAGGAATATAGACAGTTAGTGTTCAGTTTTGGTCCTCTTATCGACAAAGATATACAGACATTGGAGACAGTTCACTAGATTGATCCTAGATATGGATGAATTTTCTTGAGGAGAAATTTCATTTGGGCTTGTGTTCATTGGAGTTTAGAAGAATGGGAGGTGACCTTGTTGAAAGATACAGGATTCATTACAGGGTAAATGCCGAGAGATTGTTTCCCTTGTAGGATAGTCTAAGACCAAAGGAAATAATTTCAGAGCAGGGAATCACCATTTAAGACAGTTGAAGAGGAATTTCTTCTCTCAGAGGGTAATGAGTCTGTGGAATTCATTGCTGCAGAGGGCTGTAGAGGCTGGGGTCATTAGGAATATTCAGAGCTGACGTGGACAGATTTTAGTCAAGGGTTATATAGAAAAGGCAAGAAAATGGAGCTGAGAGTTATCAGATCAGCCATGATCTCGTAGAATGGCAGAGCAGACTTGATGGGCTGAATGGCCTACCTCTGCACATACATCTGAGATCCTATTTAGGAGTCTGGGATAGCTGGCTGTTTAAAAGCAAGGGACTAATCTTACCTTTATCCATTATCCGTACATGCACATTTCCAACAAGGATTGTGGATGGTTTTTAAGTGTATCTATTCATGGGACATGCATATAGCGGTAGGCCAGCACTTTTTGCCAGTTCCTAATTTCTCTTGAGATGTTGCTGAACTGCCTTGAACCACTGTAATCTCCACAGCTTTTTATAATCATAGTCCACTGTGACTCAACCTTATCAGGCTGAACTCATGGGAAGGATGTCACCCAAAAAATGTTCAGTATCGCTCAATCGCTTTTAGTTTGTTCCACTTTTGCTATTTTCTTTTGGTTAAAACTTAAATTTCTGGAGAAATGTTGGGTTTAAAGATTTATCTTGGACAGTGGTGTGAAATGGATAACATTAGATTGGCTGCACATTCAGCTCACCATCTGGTATTGAATTCCATTGGTTGCAATGGAACCAAATCTCAGAGACTGCATAAATCAACAATGAATCTAATACTACCCATTTTATGCCTCCAGCAAAGACTAATTTCTATTCCATAGATGGGCATACTGTGAAAACAGTAACTCGGAAATGTATCAATCTAGTTGCCTGCTAATTCTAAATATTAAACTTTTACTTGTGTCTACTTTTAAACCCTCTTTTTTGCTTAAAGTTGGTTTTATGGGAAGGGGTTATTAATATTTATTAAACTTTTTCATTCAGTGTAACATTTAGTAAAACAATTGTAATAAAAGCTGTGTGCTGACACTCCAGCTTTAAGAGGTGTGTTTTGTCCTGTTTAATTTTTTTGGAGAGGTTTTAAGACGGAGGAGACGAGCAGTGTATTTGAATCCAATCAAGTAAACAGCCTGTGAGCCCTTGGGTTTTGTTTTTAAAAGTTGAAACAATAGAAGCAGCCTAAATGGGGGAGATTGACTTCACCCAGAGCCAGGATGTTTACTTTCAGTTTTCTTGGTTGCTGGGGTCTTGAAGCTGAGTTTAGAAGTTGTAGTACATCTCTCCTTGCTTCTTGTTGCCTTGCACACGCTCTCTCTGTCTCTGTTTTCGCCTGATGTTGTTTCCCTCCTGAACTGGAGAATTGCCTGTGAGACAATCTATTTTGCTGAGTTTGCCTTTGCCAAGGGTGTGTTTATGGGATGTTGCTGTATTGGAACAGTTAATTAGTTGTAAATAGATCTATTATTTTGTTAAGCATTTTGATACAGTTACAGTTAAGCCTATTCTTTTATTTTTATTTTGTCTGTGTTTTAACGGCAGTGTAAAAATAGTGTTTTGCTTAATGTCAAGTAGTTTGACCAATCGAATCGCATCTGGAATGCAATATCTTACACGTACCATTAAAATAAGAACAAGTTAGGGTCTACATTATCTTCTGAATATATTTTGAGGGGGTTTGGTCTTGTCCATCACGAAGCATCAGTTTGCACCACTTTAAAGAACAGATGGCTTAATATTTTACGCTCAATGGTGATGGATACAGACTTTCAAAAGGCAACTCAACATGTACTTGAGATCTAATTTGCAGGTTATGAGGAAGATGCAGTGGTTTAGGACTAAATTGGACAACTGTTTGAAAGTATTGGCACAAGCATGATGGAGTGGCTTAAGCAGACTTTACTTCTGAATTCAGGAACAAAAACCGAAGTTGCTGGAAATTTTCAGCACATCTGGCAGCATCAGTGAAGAAAAAAATCAGAGTTTACGTTTTGGGTCCGGTGACCTTTCCTCAGAACTGATTTACAGCATCCGCATTTCTTTCAGTTTTCACTTCTGAATTCTATGCTCCTAAAAGGAGTCATCGCTATCCTATTACCTCTCTGTCTCTCCCTCTCTTTTCAACATGCAATAGTTTGTAAAGTAAAAGCATAAAACGCTGGAAACACTCAACAGATCAAGGAGCATCTGTGTACAGGCAGAAATGGTTAATATTTCAGGGTTATAGATGGAAAGGGAGATTACAGACACAGTCACGTGTGACAGCACTTATTGCTGAGTTTACTTCTGAGGAGAGAGCTGATGATAGCAGATTGCCAAATGAGGAAAGGGACCATTCCTGTGGAGGGCGATACAGTGGTATCCTGGTTAAGTTTTCCGCTGCTAATAATACTAAATCTGTTAACTGGCCATGTTATTTTACTGTCTCTGGGTCCCTGTGTATAGATTTGACTGCAGACATTTACCAGCAGAGACTGCACGTCAGCTTTGGAATGTCCTCTGGACAATACGGTGATATACAAATGCAACTTTGCTTCTTCAACCATAGTGATAGATGTTGACCTAAATATCCCATTTCCTTTTTGCAGCAGTCACTGATGACAGAGGATCGGCAGCCTCAGACAATTGAATTGGTCTGCACCTGGCAAGGTAATTCTTCTTTTAATGCAATTCATAAAAAAGCAGAGTATTTTTAAACTTTAACATTTGCTCATTTGGTACTTGAAATGGGCACAAGTCTCAATTTCAGTTTGAGGTCTCTGTGCCAATTTCTGATGTGGATTCGTGAGGTCAGCTCGATGAGTTAGAGTTGGCTAGAGTCATAGAGTCATACAGAACAGAAACAGACCCTTCGGTCCAACCAGTCCATGCTGAACATAATCCCAAACTAAACTAGTCCCACCTTCACTCCACTGCAGCTATTAGCTGGTAGTGGTTTGTTCCACAGCACATACAACAACTTCCTTCTGAGCTGTGAGATTCTATAATCAGTTATTCATGTGGATTGATTATGGTTTAATATCATAATTGACTCAGTCACTGGAGGTAATCAATAAGGTTATTGACGTTACTTTAAGGATAATAGGAAATCTGTGATGATACCCAGTGAGAATTATTTCAAGCATCAACCAGGTTAGTTTGATGGCTGTTTTGGCTTTCAATCTAGTCTTAGCTGTTTTTTTTTATCCCTTGAAACACAATAGTATGCTGAATACTTTTGAAGCAAAGCTGTCTTACATGACAGTTATTCACCTGACATTTACATTGATAAGCAGTAGTATGTTCAAAATATTAGCCAATGCAATGGAGCCAAGTCACCAGCTCACACATCTATCAAAATATTTTGAAACATAGGAACAGTAAAAAGGCCATTCTGCCCCTCAAGACTAACCCCATCACAGTTAGATCATGGCTAATCTGTACCTCAACTTCGTTTATCCAGTATTAATCATCTACATTGTTGCATTTTTGTTAGCTTTGGGTATCAGTGTCTTTAGGGCTTGAATTTTCCCAGAATCCCTAGTAATTCATGAGGTCCAGAGAGTTCCTCATTTCTATTATCTTTTTCATTCATTCTGATTTCACTCCTAAATGTCCTAGTATTATTTTTAAGATTGTATCCCCTTTCTCTAGATTTTCCCACTAGTGTCTCTATGCTAGTGTCACCTCCCCCCCCAGTTGAAACACTCATCATTTTGAAGACCTCTATTAAATCACCCCTACTCAAGAGAACACAACCAAATTTATTTAATCTGTGCTCCTGTGAAGCATTTAAGCCTGGTATCACTGACGAAACTGCAGTGCACCCTTTCCAAAGCTATAATACCTTCTTCCTGAAAGTTAGTGGCTAAAACTGAATGCACTCATCCAAATGAGTCTACCCAAGGCTCTGTACAAATAAAGGATCACGTCCTCACTTCAATTCCAACTCCTTTGAGATAAAATGCCAACACTTAATTCGCTTTTTTTAAAACATTGCGCCAGTTATTTTGTGTACATGGATATCCAAATCAATTTGTACTTCCACTGCCCCTCTCACCTTAAAATGTTGTTTGTTTAAAATTTATCTTTGATCCAAAATGGGTGACCTCTCACATTTTTCCACATTAAACATTATCTGACACTCACTCAAACTGTCTGTACCCAGTGAGTTGCGTGTCTTCCCTTGTGTTGTGACCTTGAGTGGGCTAGTACCATGAATCAGAGATTGAATAAAAGCTCTTCATACGTACAACTTTGATGTCTTACCGCACAATGCATTTATCCAATTGGAATACCGAGTTTAAATTCATTTATGCAAAGTATATTACTCACTTTGGGAGGTGTTACATTCAATGAGCCAAATTTTGTTGAAACAAATTAATATGAGTTTCTTTTTAAAACAGGTGATCAGCGAATTCTAAATGATCCAGTAGGATACAACGACTGGGACATAGACACGGAAGATTCAGAGCTTACATCAAAGCCAGTACCTTACATCCAACTTGCTTAAAACACTTTTAACTGCAGACACATTTGATAGTTGTATTTACCATTTTATTGGACCACGTTGGCATGAATTTTATATGAACTGTGAAGATTAAGCCTTACTCACCTATAAAATTTGGAGCATTGAAATTCCACACATTTTAGCTGTGATGCCTTGACAGTTATAATTGCTGCTCACATCAATGCTAGGCATATTACACAAGTAATTACACAGTGGGGAGAATTGTATGTTGAGTAACATTTTATGCCATTTTGAATCTTTTGAAGATAAATATTCTTGCTGTGAACAGAAGGGTATGTAACTGTAGTACTGTAATAAGTAATCTGGGAATGAACAACTCAGACCTCAGCAGTAATTGTCTAATGAATTTGTTTCAAGTTGGAGTGCTGCCAGTTTTTCATTTTCAAGTTATAAATTAAGTATGGGAAAGGTGGAAGTTTTTTTTTAAATTGTGCTTTGTTTCTCAAAACTGTGTAGCCTGCAAACTAAAAGGCGATTTGCAATTTTATTTTATTTTAAACAACCTGCTACCAACATCTTGGACATATGGAAATAACTTCACTTGTGATCCATTTGTGTATTATTTTTAAGAAGACTTCTCCTTTCGTTCAGTTTTACTTGCCTGTTGCCCTTGGCCTTAATCACACACATGGAAAATGTTGGGGTGAGGAGAGATCATATATTCTGGAATTGAGAATCGGCATGAATGATGCATTCCAGTACTTCACCCAAATCTAAATAGTTATTCGTTGTATGAGACAAGTCAGTGTCAGGGACAACAGCTGATGGCACTGCAGTTGTACACCCATTAGCACTTAATGCATACTTTTATGAGAATCACTGGGTAGCAACCTGCTGCAGAAACCTACTGTATTCCCCAAACACAGAGGATCAGGACAGGTGTGATTCTGACACTGCTTGTAGTCAGCATAGACCATGGCATCTACCTGGATCAATCCTGGCTGTTGTTGCTAATGTAACTAATTCGGTTGGGTAGCTAAATTTTGACATAGAATTGGGCTGATGCACTGTTTTTGACATGAGACAGATACATTATTTCTTTTGAAAGTTTGTCTTTGTCTAATGGGTTGATGTGCAGGACTGCAATTTTTAACAACTTCATATTGCCTAGAGTATGCAATTCTTTCATTTCTCAAGTCTTCCAGTGATGTGAACCAACTCCCCAGCTGACACAGAGACTAATATCTGCTTCAAATTCCCATTGCCATTCCAAAAATATTCAGTAAGGTGTGAAATGATGAGATAGTAGGAACTGCAGATGCTGGAAAATCTGAGACAACAAGGTGCAGAGCTGGATGAACACAGCAGGCCAAGCAGCATCGTAGGAGCAGTAAGGCTGATGTTTCGGGCCTAGACCCTTCATCAGAAAATGATTATTATCCCCATTACCTACAGAACTTGGATGCTTTTTATGTTTTATGCACAGGGATTACCAAATCTTTCTGGCGTCTTTCTCCATTTAAACAATATTCAGCTCCTCAATTACTCTTGCCAAAACGCATAACCTCGTTTTCCTGCATTCTATTCTATTTGCTAAGTTTTGCTGACTCATTTAACCAGTCTATATCCCTCTTCAGCCTCTGTGTCACTCTCACCATTTGCTTTTTCACCTTCTGATGAAGGGTCTAGGCCCGAAACGTCAGCCTTCCTGCTCCTATGATGCTGCTTGGCCTGCTGTGTTCATCCAGCTCTGCACCTTGTCGTCTCAGGTGTGTAATGATGAGCTGAGGCACTCCTCCCTCGAGCAACCCAAGTGGTTTCTTGCTGTCCTGGTTAAAATTGGAACCAGTGCTTCCTCTCTTCCCTGCATGGAATGGATTGCAAGAAATAATCCATATGCTGACCTCTTAACAGCATTGCACTATGCTAGAATTGTGCAGCATTTTATCCCTGGCAAAATAACTTCCTGTACACTAGTTAACCATTTTAGGAAAAGAGAAAATAAGTGTGACTAGTCCTGAAATAATCCGTGTATGCAAGTCGGCTTTTAGAATTGATGTTTAAATTGAATGAGGGAAAGTTTACCATGTGAATTTTCTGATTTTGTTCAAGAAAGGGTACTAATGTAAGTGTTCATATTATTATGTTTGAAATTTATTTAAAATAAAATATGCAAGAATTTTTCCAGCACAAGTGCAATGTGATATTTTGCTCTGCATTAGGTGATACAGTTCAACTATTAAGTGAATGTGCCCAGCAAGGAATATGAAAACTACCTAGGATAATGTCCTTTTGATAGGTTCTTCCAATTAAATTAAGGATATAGATAAATCCCAGGCTCTAGCTCAACTAAGTGTGTTTGTTATAATGCATAATGCTGTGTTTCTGTAATAACCGAAAATCCATTGTTGCTTTTCAGGATTGTTGATTATTTGTACTCTTGAGGAATTTTATCTGTTTGATGATTCTCAGATGTCCAAAATATTTCAGGTTGACAGAAAATGCCAGAGTGCCAGAGGAAAGGAATGTTTAGTTATCAGCTCTCCTCCAAGGAAATGAGCCGCCTGTCAATACTGAAAGGTTAAATAGGCCTCAAATGAAAATAAATGAAGATGTAAGCAATGACTTTAGAAAAACAGAACAGGAAGTTGGTATGACATAAACTGATTTGTTGGGTGGTGGCTGCTGTTGAGCATGACTTCTGCTTGGTGAGGCAAAATTCAAAGTTAGTAGAGAACTGAGATCATGGTAACAGATCATAAGACACAGGACTAAAAGTAGTCCATTTGGCCCATCAAGTCAACTCCACTGTTCAACGAGATCATGGATGATCTGATAATCCTCAACTCCAGTTTGCTGCCTTTGCCCTGACCCTTGGATCCCTTGCTGACTTAAAAATGTATCAATCTCAGTCTTGAATATACTTAATGACCCTGCCCTGTTTAGCCCTGTATGGAAAAGAACTCTTACACTAGGAAGAAATTCGTTTTCATCTCTGTCCTAACTGGGTGACATCTTACTTTGAGATTAAGTTCTTTGCTCCCAGACACACAAGAGGAAATGACCTTTCTGATCTCCCTTGTCAAGCTCCCTAAGAACCTTCAATAAGGTCACCTCTTATTTTCCTAAAATCCAGAGTACAGGCCCAACCCTCAACTGCAAGAAATAGCCTCCGTACCTGGGATTAACCTGGTGAACGGTCTCTGGTCTGTTTTCAATACCAGTATATCCTTCCTTAGATCAGGAGACCAAGACTGTTTACAGTATTCCAGATATGGCCTAACTAGTGCCTTGTATAATGTTAGCAAGACTTCCCTATTTTTATACTCTATTCCTTTTTTTCAGAAAGGCTGACATTTCATTTGCCTTCCCCATTATCTACAGAACTTGGATGCTTTTTATGTTTTATGCACAGGGATTACCAGATCCCTCTGCTGCAGCTTCCTGGAGTCTTTCTCCACTTAAACAATATTCAGCTCCTCAATTAGTCTTGCCAAAACGCATGACCTCGTTTTCCTGCATTCTATTCTATTCGCTAAGTTTTGCTGACTCATTTAACCAGTCTATATCCTTCTTCAGCCTCTGTGTCATCCTCACCATTTGCTTTTTCACCTATTTTTGTGTCATTTGCAAACTTGGATGAGGGATACGAATTGTAGCACTCCACTAGTTTCAGGTTGCCATCCTAAAAATGACCCCTTATCTCAATACTGTCTTCTATTAGTTAGCCAATCTTCAATCCACGCTAATATTCTGCCCCCAACACCATTGGCACTTATTAAGTAGTCTATTATATGGTACCTTTTGAAATGCCTGTGGAAATTCAAATATGTTACATCCAATGCTTTCACTTTATCCTGCCTGTTATATTCTTAAAGAATTTTAATAAATTTCAGGCATGATTTCCCCTTCGTGAAGCTATACTGTCTTTGCTTCATTATATTACATATTTCTTCATGCTCTGCTATTCTATTCTTTGTAATAGACTGATATTTTCCAAAAAATAGACATTAAGCTAACTGGCCTTTAGGTACCTGTTTGTCTCCTTCCCTTTGTCAATAAAAAATGTTAGATTAGCAGTTTTCCAATCTTCAGACTTTTCAAAAATCTAAGAATTCTTCGAAGATTACTTCGAGTATATCTATTATCTCTTTACTAGTACTTTTAATATCCTAGGATGCATCCGGCCTGGTCAAGGGAGCCTATTGATCCTTAGCTCCATTAGCTTTCCTAGGAACTTTTCTCTAGTGATAGTTATTGCATTTATTTTCTCTCCCCCTTTTCCCCTTGATTATTTAGGATTTTTGGAATGTTATCAGTGTTTCCGATTATTGAACTATATATTTAACTCTGGCTTTGTTTGCCCATGGCTCACATAGTAATCAATATTATTGCATCAGAGATTCCACTTTTTAGTTTATTTCCTAACTGTTGCAATTCCTTCAACAGAATTGCCTTTCCAGTACTTTCAATGGGGTTAGTACCAATGAGTACTGGATTCCTCCGACTCCAAGTTTTTCTCCAGCCCCTGGAGATAACTTTAACCCTAACACAGCTTTAGGGATTCATGCTCATGCCTGCAAAGAAGTTTTTTTTTGGTTCATGGGATGTAGGCATCTTTGCTTGGGCTGACATTTGTTGCCTGTCCCTAATTGCCCAGTGGGTAGTTCAGAGTGAACCACACACCTGTGGGTCTGGAGTGGTAGGTAAGCCAGACCAGATAGTTCCCTTAAGAGAAGGAAATTAGTGAACCAGATGGGTTTTTTTTTGACATTCAACAGTGAGTAGGTGGTTGTTATTAAGCTGGCTTTTTAATCACATTTTTTTTTTAAACTGAAGTAAAATTTCACCAGCTTACATTAGTGGGATTTGAACCCATTTCCCTGGAAAATTAGCCTCGGCTCTGTATTATTAGTCCGGTGACATTACATACTATCACCTCTCCTGAAATAATCTATCCCTCTAATTATACAGTCCCCTACCACTACTGTGTCCCTGTTTCCTTTCCACACTTGAATAGCTATCTGAACTGAGGTGCTGTGGTCAGTTTGTTTATCCTCCCTTCATTCGCCACTCTTGTCTCCACAGATTACAAGAATCTCAACTGTTGGGTAATTGCAGGAGCTGAGCCTCCTTAAATACGACACCGTGGACTCCTGTAGCTGCCTCACCTGCAGTCACACCCTCCTGCATCTGGTCACAGGCTGCATTTGAATGATCTAATCTGTGGAGTATGACCATCCCTGGAGCAAAGTGTCTGGATTACTTTTTCCTTCCCTGGAGTGGCAAAATGTCTACGGCTCAGACTCCAGCTCCTTGACTCGGGTCCAAAGTTCTCAAGTTGTAAACATTTGTTTCAGATGTGTTTACTCTGGATCACCTTGGGGTCCAGTAGCTTCCACATGTTGCAGCAAAAACACAATACCTGACCTACCATCACTATCATATTTATTATGTTATAAATGAATTACTCTAGTTCCCATGATCTTTATACTTTACTATAATGATATCTTACAAAAATGTCACAGTATTAATCTCATACTGCGATAGCTGGTTAAGAAATGAGAAGAAAAATGCTGGAAACCTGAACACAAACTGAAGACTTTTTGTTTAAAGATTAGAAACATTCATTAATCCTACTGGCCAGTCGACTTCTTTTGCACACTCGTCATGCTGTAGTGTGTGACCTGACCTTGAGAGAGAGAGAGAGAGACACACACAGACTCCTTCTTGCAGTAAACTGGAGTTAAAGCACCTTTGTCTCCCTTTGCACAAAATTCCCACTTTGAACCATATTTTTAGTTCCACTCACTCAGCTGAAGACTCCTTAACCCTGACCATGCTACTTAGCAGAATATAAGTACCATTCTTTTTCTCAAAGACTATGTTAGAAATACGTCCTTCTAACCACTAATAGACTTCCCTTCTCACTGCCCACTCCCATTATTGCAAACTATTGCCCCATCTCAAACTTCCTTTCCAAATTTCTTTAATGTGTTGTCACCTCAGAGATTCATACCAATTTTTCAGACTCCATTATTGAACCAATCCAATCAGGTTTTAGCCTCTGCCATTGAACTAAAACATCCTTTATTGAAGTGACAGGTGGTATGTAAAGATGGCTGCAAAGATGATAAACTGTCCTCCTCCTCATTTATCTGTCTGCATCCTTTCACAGGGTTGAACTACACCTGCCTCCAAAAACCTCTCCATCTAGCTGAATGGGATTTGGATTCTGAGGAAAGGTCACTTGACTTGAAATGCTAACTCTGATTTCTCTCCACAGATGCTGCCAGACCTGCTGAGCTTTTCCAGCAATTTCTGTTTTTGGGTTTCTGATTTATCCTGA